CTTTCCCTTACTTTCAGATCAATAGTGGGACGCAGGTTCTTTTTTATAATAGGAACTTTGTATCTGTACCGCTGTATTACTATGTATGTTACCACCTTACCTGTGCCTGGAATGCATTTTCAGTGTGCACCAAAGGTAAGAGCCTTTCCTCTCTAATTCTTGCCTTAGTCTCTGCCTGAGTCCTTACGGCTCCTTAGAGCAAATAGAAGATAATGTTCCAGGTGTTATTAAATAACACAAAGTACTTTCAGTTGATGTCTTCAGAAACATAGAAAGTGATAAGCCAAAAGTTGTGTGATACAGAAAGAGCTTCAAGCTGTTGATGCAGTTAAGATGCTTTAAAGGAGAGTACCTGTGTTGAAAATAGTGCTGCTACCAAATTAGCGAACTTCCTTCTGAGGCTCAAGCTAATACTGCAGCAATATTTTTTTTTTTTCGTGGTGGGATACCTAAAGACAATATTGTAATTCACAGGCTCATACTCAAGCTTGCATTGCAGTATCCCTTTAAAAAACTACAATTTTATCATATTATTTGTCCTTTGCCTCTCACTGTTTTGTCAAGAGCTGTTGCAATACCCGAAGGCAACTGCCTGTCCCTGCTTCCAACCTGCAAAACGTATATAAATGACTAAAATAAGTTCAGCTATTAAAATGAGCTGAAACATGTACATGCTAATATTTCTGCAAGAATATTTAAAAAATTTTGCGGCAGTGTAGTTAGGTGGTGACACAAAGGAATTGTTATTGCCATTTTAGGTCACTAATAAAAAGTTGTAGACATAAAGTTGCCTTGGAACAAATGGTATCCTATTGGCTGCACTGAAAACTGTGCTTGAGAGAGGAAGGAACAGTTTGGTTGTGCACTGAGAAGATCAGCATTTTGAAATCTAAAAATACTGCCAATTTACTTGGGGGATAAACTTGTCACTCCTTGTGTAGGATCTCATCAGTCTTGAGGTACAGCGTTGTGTCTGTTCAGTCTTACTCTTTCACATTGGGACAAATTAGGAACATAGTGGATGAACTACTTATGAATCAGTATCTATTTGAAAAAGCTTTATGTACCACTATTGTAAAGATTCAACTGATTTCTTCTAGTAGCTTGCAGAATGACTTTGTGTGTAGTAGACTGTATTGAGGAATGGGAAAGGGTGTGCACAGGAAGACTTAAATGTCTCTGAAAGTGCAGTTTGCTAGCATTAAAACATAAAAAAAAATTAAAATTACTTGAACTCTGGAAAAACTTGATAGCTCTTCTGGATTTCTTTTGTTGTCCATTGTGAATATTTTTCTGATTATGGAAAACTCAGTTACTCCTTTATCTTGTTTGTGTTTTTTTTTTTCCAGAGTTAATGTTTAAACAGCTAGGTGAAACTGAGTGTTCGCCTAATATGTATGAGAAATCAAAAGCTGATCCTAATGCATGTTTAAAAAAATATATCCTCTAAATCTGAGTAAGTCCTGACTGAGCTTATAACCAAATCTAAAATTAAGCGAGTTTGAGGTTTTTTTGTCCTGTAGAAACATTGCTTAGTTCTGAACAGAATGACAGCAGTGGTACGCAAGGTTGCACTGTGGTGGAACTGGTTTTGAATGTGTTTTTATCCATTCTGTCAATGACCATCATGAGATACCTGACCCTAAAAATTTTTAATGTTTAACTTTCCAGTATACTCTGCATCTCGTTCTCATAAAATACATATTTTAAAATAACCTGGGAAAGTACAGACAGAATGCTAGTGTTACCACGCTGATCTTCAGCTCCTGTCAACTTTGATACACATGGTTATTTGTTTAAGAATACATGAAAGAAAGCCAAAGAAAATGAGGACAATTTGTGTCCTTTTCTCTCTGTCTCCCTGACTCCACAAGTGTTTGGGCAAGAAGTGACTTGAGTAAACTTACGGTTTAAGTTTTATAAGTTAATAAACTTATAACTTTTTTATATACTTTTTTCTGATATTCTAGTTGAATGGAGATTCTCAGGCGAAAGTTCAGAGGATCCTGCGACTGATTTCTGGTGGTGGTCTGTCCATAACTGGATCACACATCCTGTGCGGAGACTTCTTGTTTAGTGGTCACACTGTGGTATTAACGCTGATCTACCTGTTCATTAAAGAGTGTAAGTGATGGTATCTCAGTGCACATTGCTGGTTCTAATCTGTTGTACTGGGAAAACACATGATAAAAGTGCATGTAGAACTATTGCCCTCTAAAAGTTACTGGTCAGCTGTACACAGACTGGGTGTGAATGGGTTTGAAATACAAATCATGACTTTGCTGAGTGAAAATGGAACGTGAGTGTAGCAGAAGTACTGTGGGCTTTAATTAAGGGTTTAATTGACTAGACATGCCACTTCTTTATATACAGTGTTTATGGGTTGATTGACGCAAGCTAGCTTTCCATTATTCATTGACAAGTTATTCAAATTTTGGGTAAAACATACTGTAGTTAATTGTGTGAATTAGCTCTGTGCAGGTTGGCTGGTATACGTTAGATTTTTAAGGAATTTTTGTGGTTTGAGCACAGTGCCATTGCACGCTTGTGCTACATCCAGGAGCAATGTAATTTCTTTTAAGTGTGCTGTACTACTTACTCCAAACAATGGAAAGTTGATTCATGCTCCTTGGATGTCTTCTGCTAGGGTCTCCTACTTGCATCTCTTGAAGCTGGTAAGAATTTGGCAAGCACGCAGAAGATATAGTTGGGGTTATGGTTTCCCTGTTAACTTTACATTGCTGTGGGGTGTGGGGGGTGTGGGGGGGCTGGGAAAAACAACTATGCTGTGCACACAGCATCAATCAAAGCTTTGGAGAACTGAGCACCTACTTCTGAATCTGATACGTGGCAAGCAATAGTTCTGCCCTGGGAACTTGGCCGCTCATGAATGCGTAGTGAGGAGTTCCCTTTCCAGTTCACATTTGGAATTGGAATCTTCTCTCCTACTGCTGTGTCCCAAATTATGCAAATGCTAGCTTGGCTCATGGGGATGTGTAATTCTCACTGAAACAAAAATAAGACTAGCCAGCATCAGCCAAATGCCTGCCTTCTATTAAAATGTTGAGGGAAGGAAGTGTTGCAGTGCTACATTCTGCCTTAAAAAATATATATATAAAACTGCCTGTTTAATATGGCAAACTTCAAATCTGCAGATGTGAGATGATGTTCCTCAAATGGTGATTTAAGATGCTGATCACAGTCTAGTGATTCTTAGGCCTAGGTCCTTCTTGTAAAGTGAATGTTGCTGGGGGGGGATGGCGTGTGTCCCTCATCAAAATTACCAGAGCAGTACTGGGACAATAGCCTAATAGTAGATTTGTTGTTTGCCTTGTTTTGTGTATGTTATTGCAGCTTAATGCTGGTCACGTACTCTTCTCTAGTATCAGGAAAGATGCAGATAACCCAATATTTCTGGGGCTAGTACCACTCATGTACTTTTATCGTAAGGGGTTTGGAGGAATTGTATCACACGCATTCTTGCAATAAGCCTTTTGACTGGAGCCTGAGTGTTAGGCAGATGTTTTAGTGGAGTTGTGCTCTATACATGAGAAACGCGTAGCTTTCCTTTTCTACGTCCTATATAAGCCCTATAATTGCTCTGAATTAGAGATTGTTTATGGCATTCTTTCTGCTCTTTTGATAAGACATGTCTTTAGTACCACATGCGGTCTGAGGTTTTCATTACTTCTGGCTTAGTGGATTTTCTTGCTCTGTTCTTTTCCTTTCATCCTTTGCTGCTTTTTCATTTATTCTCCTGCACTCCAGTGTTTTTGCCCAGACTGGTTATTTACATTTTTAGCCTTGGTATGTCTTTCTTGCTTGAGGCTGTTTTTGTCAACTCTTGAGATGACTTGGCTTCTTATTTTCAATTTTTTTTTTTTTTTAAATCAGTAGATACAGATACGTCTGCAATGTTTTGGGGAGGGTTGAGAGAATTTACTGCTTTGACATTTGCACCAAAATTGAAGTCCTCCTACAGTAACTATTTTGCACAGGCCTCTCAAATTACTACTGAGTAGGCTCGTTGAGATCAGTAGCTTTTCTGCTGGTATTGTGTGAAAGGAGAGGCTGACCATTGCCCCAGAAGGCAAGAAGTGCCAAGGCCTCCCACTGTGAGTGCAATGAAGCCCGTTAGCCTGTCAAAAGTTATGAATGGTCATTGTGACACCCAAAGCATTTTTCAATGGGGAAAGAAGGGCAAGGGAACTTTTCCACTGAAGTGGCTTCAATGCATTTTGAAGAATAGCTTCACTCCTATTTGTTAATCTTTAACGAAAGGGTATAAATTCACATACTGTACTTCCCTGTACAGTGTATTCTGTTTCACAGAACAGAGATTTCATGCAAAGTGGTTAAAACCTCGGAATTGAAATAGTGTGTCTTTTCCTGTTTAATCTGTGATCTCTGCTCAGGTTATATCAATTCTGACACTTTACTTGAGTGTAAGCTTACTTGAGCATAGACTGTAAAAAGAGCAGAGATTCAATACACCCAAATAAAATAGTC